TTGGGTCAAAACTGGCCCTGCCCCAGGTGTGTCATTGTTTTCAACTATATGTGTAAAGAAAAAACTTGACCAGCCAGACCTTAGATGTTTAGCATGAAACATCTTCTAATGGGTGTCTACCAAGTTTGTTCAAATAAAAGCCCTGGGGTTTAAACTGGCCCCGCTCCGGGGGCCTATATACAGGTGAGCGACTTCAGGGCCATCATGGCCCTCTTGTTTTAAGCCTTGTGTGACTTAAAATGGCCAAAAAGATCAAAGAAAAAGTCACATAAGTACCATTTTGTGAGTACATACGTCCGTCCGTACGTCCCAAACGCAACTCATTAAACCGGATGGCAGATTTTGCTTAAACTTCCAGGGATGAACAACCTTAATGTGTAGATGGAAGTAAAGAAAGGAATTTTTGCTGCAACCAAATTTAACAGAATTATGGCCCTTTGTTGATTTTTTCACTATATACCATATATATATTGTCAGTGGGGGCATCCGTGTCCTTAGGACACAGTTCTAGTTATGTATCAGTGTTTTTACCCCCTACTTTCGGAATGGTTCTGGTACCAGACAGATTGGGAAAAAAGTTTAATTTTGACTCAAATATGAAATAAACTAGGTACTGTGAAATCATCATTATTCGTGGGGCACGAATTTTCGTGGTTTTCGTGGATAGGTCAATCCACGAATTTAAGACCCGACGAAATTTTATCCCAACAAACGCTTCTTACCATGTCTCTGTTCCATATATCACAACATGCGTCGGCGCTTTTCCGGCCGATATTTGTGGTATGAATGTATATTATAATCAGGTCAGTGACAAATTAAATCCATAAATAGTTTAATTTTGCAATATTTAAGAAACTTGAAAGAAAAATCGATTGTATGTCTTCGGTTTGCTGTCACAAATGTTCGTCGCATGTAAACATCAGGGGACTACTTGATCGTTGTAGGCTACTTGATTGTGTTAGCCAGAATACGTGACATAATCGAGTAAATATGGGAACCAAGTGCATTAATTATCCCCGATAAAACTTTTAACGACTAGTGTTTATATGATCCATTTAATTATATTTTTTTCAATATGTATTTGTGTGACTGCTATTCCGAAAATATCAAAGAAGCCGTCGTCTTTACACTAGATGCACACATACATGTATGTAACTGTATTGAGCCATTTACTGGTATTAATTTATATGCCTATAAATTTACACAGTCGATGTGATGTAGTGTGTAGTTTTGGACTAATTCGGGGTGTTAACTTTTTTACTGGCTGGTTAAAAATTGGCAGATGTCGTATAATTTATGCGATGTTTACATTGGCGAATTATAGGGGCATATAATGGAGCTGCATATCATGTCACACAAAGGTGTTAATTGCAGTCAATTATCGGCAGTAATTGTGTTACTGCCAGAGGCCAGGATTAAATTTATTGACAAGAGCTGTGTTATATACACGGGGTAAGTAAAACAGCGCAGTGATTAAGTGAAAGATTACTTTCCATTACTTATTTTTTTTTTACAAGAAAATGAAAATCCACGAATTTAAGAACCCACGAAAATGCCTGTTTTGATAAAACCACGAAATTTCATGCCCACGAATACAAATGATTTCACAGTATCCTTTATTTGGTTGTATAGGGGTTTGCATTGCCTATCACTTGCCTAATCAGGGAAGCGTTTTGCTATCAATTTAATATGGAAGAATTGCTGTCAATTTTTTGTAAACTTACCTTTTGGAGTGTTATTTAGTGTAATTTGTCAGAAATCAGGGGGAGGGGGGATACTGTCTATTTATATTTGGGAACAGGGCTGTTTTCCTGTTAAAGCTATATAAGGGAAAAAATGCTGTGTATAACCTTTTCTAGATAAAGGCTGGTAGAAGTTACACTAAAATGTCTAGGAAAACCTAATAATCCACTTGATCAGGTCTTGGACTATAGGCCCATTCAAAGCTACATATCTGGAAAAAAAAATAGAAATGTATTGAGAGTTCAAAGAAATGTTTTGATATTTATAATCTGATTAAAACCACATTTTTATGTGCCAGATTTTACTTAAATTAATTTACAGCTATTCTTGCAATATTCCTGTCATGTACCTAGCAGATGGGTTGGGTTGGATTGGGTTGTCTGCTTAAACACTTCTGCTATACATATATTTTTACACTTTTCTTGCCTTTATCAAATGATGTGCTTTTAAATACATTGACAGATATGTAGGTTTGGGTAGCATCCATTACCTTTTGCAACATTCTTGTTTTCTATAGCCTTACTAATTGCGTGATAACTAGTACTAGCATACTTGTGCACTTGAATTCCTTCCTATAGGAATTTGCTTTTTTAGTCCCCTACCGGTTTAACCGGAGGGGACTTTAGGTTTACCCTCCGTCCGTCTGTCTGTCTGTCAGTCCGTCAGTCCGTCCGTCCACAAAACTGGATCCCGCGATAACGCAAAAAGTACTGAAAATATTTTTATGAAACTTGATATATGGATAGATGGCAGTATGGAGATTATGCACGTCTTTTTTTTTTCTTCCTATGTTGAAAATTCTGGTTGCTATGGCAACAAATAGTCTGAAAATATGGCAAATTTAACACATAAACTGGATCCAGTGATAACTCAAAAAGTATCGAAAATATTTTTATGAAACTTGAAATATGGGTAGATGGCAGTCTGGAGATTATGCACATATTTTTCTTTTCTTCCTATGTTGAAAATTCTGGTTGCTATGGCAACAAATAGCCTGAATTTCAAGATTTCTGATTTAAATTTTTCAGCTTTTTCACTATATGTTCTTTATTTCTTAAGGTGTTTACTTCAAACTTTAAATATAAGTTTCTGGTCATCAACCACATCATATGTGACAAGGTTTATAACTCTAGCACAAAAAATATCAGTATTACCTCCCTTGAACTTAGATTTTTTAGGGGAAAAAATTTGTCTTTTTTAAATAACTTCTTTATTTCCTAATGTATCTACTTCAAACTTCATATATATGTTTCTTATTATCACTCGACATTTTTGAGAAGGTTAAATACTCTAGCAAGACTATTTCCAGAATTATGACCCCTTGAACTTAGATTTTTTTTGAGAAACTGGTATTTTCACTCCAACTTCTTCATTCCTTATAGGATTTACTTTAAAATCCCACATCGTAATAATATGACAAGGTTGTATAAACATAATTTCCTTACTAAGCATGGAAACTGAACACATTACTGTGATATAGACAAACTTATTTTATTATGTTTTGTGGTTGATATTTTCAAATACAGACTTCATCCTCAAATTCATTATAAATGGCAATACACAGGAGTGTATGACAATTAAAGAACTTTTTGAGGGACCGGTAGGGGACTACTGTATTGCCCGCAATACTATCAAATGCTTGTATGTTTAATCATTTCCATCATGTATATCATACTAAGTCTTGAGATCATAAATCTTATTTATTTTTTTCAGCTTGAAAGTTTTATTTCACTTTATGAACATTGGGAACAAATGTTTATTTACAATGTAGAACTTAAAACAGCGAGACTTGACTCCTTGTTTTCTTCATTCTTGACAGGGTATAGAATCACTGCCTACATATGACAAAATGTGTGTTAAAATCTGCATAAAAACCATATAGATAAACAAACAAACAAATATTTTATTAAAAGTTACATCAATTGAACTAAAGGTGTGAATATAGATTATAATGTAAGGGAAAAATCTCTGATATGAGCAAAAAAGTTGTGACTGTTGTTTTACCTACGATACTAATGTCAACCAGAAGTTTTCGAATTTCGATCACAAACTTGCTATATACATCAAATAAGCTGATTAAAGATATATTTCATTACTACAAGATTTCAGAAAAGGTACGTAAATAAGGGAAAATTATTACTCCATTTTTTATGCCCCTGGGCATAAAGTAATTGAACCGTCCGTCTGTCCCTACCAGGTTAAAAGTTCTACTTGTACCAATGGCTTCATAATTTACACACTAATCAATACAAAGTACATGTGATCTGGGCAACATACTAAACTATGGCTTCCATTTTTCCCAAGTTATTGCTCTTTTCAGCAATTGAAAATTGATATGGTTAACCTAAACTGGCAAGTTGGATTATCTATCCATACTTATGGCTTCATAATTTTCACACTTACAATTCAAAGTACATGATATTGCCAGTTATATAACTGTGCCATCCATTTTAAGCTCACCAGAACCAAATTTTGTCTGTAACATTCTTAGGTAGTGTTTTATCAAGTTTGCTCATATTAATTTCATTTGTCCCTTTTAGCACAGACACTTGGGGTTTGGAGCTTTAAAATCCAAGTACTATTATAGATGTTGAAATATGAATTTTTTTCAAAACGGCTTATATTAAGTTTTTTTTATATATATGATCAGTACATGTGCTGGGATTGACAAATATGCATTTTATTTGGATTTAAAAGGCGTTTTGAGCTCCAAACCCCAAGTGTCTGTGATCGATGGATGATCACCAAATTTTGTCTGTAGCATTCTTAGGTAGTCCGTCATCAAGTATGCTAATATTATTTTGATTGGCCACTTTGAGGGGCCGCTAAAGCTAAAAATAGAAAAACCTTTGAACATCATCTCCTACTGAAATAATTGATGGATGATCACCAAACTCTGTCTGTAGCATTCTAAGGTATCCTTTTATCATTTTTGCTCATATTAATTTGATTGGCACAAAAAGCTAAAAATAGAAATACCTTTAACTGTCTTTTTTTACAGAACTAATTGATTGATGATCACCAAACTTTGTAGCATTCTTGGGTAGACTGTGTTTACAATTTTTTGACAATTTTTTCTGTCCATAACTTATTGATTGGGTAAATATTTTTTGAAAAATTGTTACTTCGACAAGAATCTGAGCCAGGGGCATTTGTGTTTAACAAACATGTTTGTTAACCCTTGATATGTTTATGTTTCCATTTAATTACAAAATTTAATATAGAGGAGAACTAAATCATATTTTCCCTTTTTGTAGAGAATTTCCGTGCATTGTGCACTGGGGATAAGGGATTTGGTTTCAAAAGCAGCAAATTCCATCGTGTAATACCGGAATTCATGTGCCAAGGTGGTGATTTTACAAATCACAATGGTACTGGTGGTAAGAGCATCTATGGCGAAAAATTTGCAGACGAGAACTTCACTTTGAAGCATACTGGACCAGGTATATATTTGAATTCACCCCTCAAAGACTTAACCATATAAAATATCCTTAGGATGACTTTGCATTAAAGCAGCAATAAGTTTTTTAAACAGTCCGCTTTTCTGCTATAGGGATCTTTTATTATACAAGATAATTCTTTTATCCAGGTTATTTCTGGTACCACTTGATAATTAATTATTATTTTTATTATTTTATCTCCTTTATTTTTGTTTTGGAACATGTTGGTCTGGCTGGTGTATATGTAATTGAAATTAACAATACTCCATGACAAATACTCAATTGAGGGTTGAAATATCACTGTATGGAAAAATAAGCTAATTTTGAAAAATCTGATTTAAGTTTAATGTTGCATTTCATTTCAGGAATCTTGTCAATGGCAAATGCAGGTCCTAACACAAATGGGTCGCAGTTTTTCCTCTGCACGACAAAGACTTCATGGTAAGACATTATAGCTCAAATTTATTTTGTCCATTTAATGTTGAATAGTCAGTTCAGTACAATGTTTTAATTAAGAGCTAATAAAAAGATATAATGTTCATTTATGTCTTTCACAATTGCATAATTGAATGGCCACAGCCCTTCAGAATGTTGCAGGGAATCTTACCTAGACAAGGCCTAGTTTTAAATCAAAAGACAATTATTTTAAAGCAATACTTCTAGAAGTTAATGTCCCTTTTAAAATTATGATATTTATACAAACAGGTAATTGAGAGTGGTAGCCCTTTATTGATAAGCATGAACACCAAATGCAATTCTCTTGTTTATGTATACAATTATTATGACAGGTTAGATGGCAAGCATGTAGTGTTTGGATCAGTGGTTGAAGGAATGGATGTGGTCACGGCAATAGAAGCTGTAGGCAGTCAAAGTGGGACAACTGAGAAAGATGTTGTAATAGCTGATTGTGGACAAATTTAAAGGAAATGATTGTATAACCACCTATCTTTATAAAATGTTGAAACATTTAATGTGGTTACCATTAATCCTTGTCAACTGAGATTTGATTGAGATTTATTTTAATAGTTACGCAATATAATTTTTATGCCCCTGGGAATATAGTAATTGAAACATTGGTCCGTCTGTCTGAGTTTTATTGGTAAGTTCAATGTCTTGCAACTTCATCACAAGTCATAGCTTATATTTTTCACAATGACAAAACACCATGACTCAAGTAATTTAAATGTGTTTACTATTTTTGGCTATTTTTCTGTCCATAACTGAGTGAATGGATGAACATTTTTTTGAAAAATTGTTACTGACAAGAATCTGAGCCGTGGGCATTTGTGTTTAACTCTTATTCTTCATATGTATTATCTTCTTTTAATATACAGTAAAATGAACTATAATATGTTCTGATCTGGCTATACTGAAAGTGACATTATGCTCAATTTTTCATTGTCGAGTTGAATTGACTCAATATTTCAAAAGAGTGACAACCAAAACTGTGTTGGTTTGATGTTAAACCCAACCAAAAAAAATATATATAAAAAATTTACTTATAATGGTGATTGACCAACAGTTGATATTGGAAAATGTTAAGGATAAAATATAAATCTGCATAAAACTATTAATTGAATCTTACAGATAAAGTCTGATTGATATTTACAGAAATTTGAGTCCTGTGAATTTATTTATTGTTCATAACATTGAAATGAATTATATAGACTTAAAGACAGGTAAACAAAATTTGTGGATGTTCTAAATCAAGATGAACTCTATATTATGTATTTTTATGTTAAATTGTATGGTAGGTAATTTAAATGACTGCTGTTTTAAATTTTTGCTTAAGAGCCTTTCCAAAACAAGTACATGTAGGTCATAAATTATCTTTACTTGTGCAATTAAGGGTACTTTTTTTAAATAAAAATTAAAAGAATTTCAAACCAAAATGCCCAAGCTGATAAGTTTGTTGTGAATCTTCGAAAACAAAAATTCCCAAACATATGGAAGAAATATCTTATTGTATCATAATACATATTAATGATTTTACATTGTGTCTATACTTTTTATTGCAATATATACAAGCATCGATAACTCTTTTACAGTTTAGTGTGGTAAACCGCCTGTAAAAATAATGATCTCGTTCACACGTAATTTAGTAAATATTTCTAGTGTTCTTGATTTTTCTTTTACCAAATTCTTTCATTTTTTCATATTTATACCCCCGCACAACAAAGTTGTAAGGGGGGTATACTGGAATCAGCTTGTCCGTCCGGCCGTCCGTCGGTTTTTTCTTGTCCGCCCAATAACTTAAGATATCATTGACCCTTAGTCTTCATATTTGGCATGGAGGTTAGTCATGATTAGTAGATGACCCCTATTGATTTTGAGGTCACCAGGTCAAAGGTCAAGGTCACAGGGGCCTTGACTTCAAAAAGCTTGTCCGCCCAATAACTTAAGATTCCTATGACCCAAAGTCTTCATATTTGGCATGGAGGTTAGTCATGATTAGTAGATGACCCCTATTGATTTTGAGGTCACTAGGTCAAAGGTCAAGGTCACAGGGGCCATGACTTTAAAAAGCTTGTCCGCCCAATAACTTAAGATTCCTTTGACCCATAGTCTTCATATTTGGCATGGAGGTTAGTCATGATTTGTTGATGACCCCTATTGATTTTGAGGTCATCAGGTCAAAGGTCAAGGTCGCAGGGGCCTTGACTTCAAAAAACTTGTCCGCCCAATAACTTAAGATTCCTTTGACCCATAGTCTTCATATTTGGCATTGAGGTTAGACATAATTAGTAGATGACCCCTATTGACTTTGAGGTCACCAGGTCAAAGGTCAAGGTCACAGGGGCCTTGACTTCAAAAAGCTTGTCCGCCCTATAACTTAAGATTCCTTTGACCCACAGTCTTCATGTTTGGCATGGAGGTAAGTCATGATTAGTAGATGACCCCTATTAATTTTGAGGTCACCAGGTCAAAGGTCAAGGTCACAGGGACTTTGACTTCAAAAAGTTTGTCCACCCATTTACTTAAGATTCCTTTGACCCACAGTCTACATATTTGGCATGGATGTTGATCATGACTATAAGGTGACCCCTATTGACTTTGAGGTCACTGGGTCGAAGGTCAAGGTCACAGGGACCTTGACAAAAAAGCTTTTCTTCTCAATTGCTAAAGAATGTCCTGTCCGCAATGTATTGATTTTGACATTTTCACATTTTAAGCTTGTAGAATACATAACTTAGCAATGCACTGGCTTAGTAACCTCAGCTTTGGCAGGGAGGTTGTCCTTTAGCGCTAAATGGCCACTGTTGATTCTGACAAAGTGGTATGCGGGGGTATTCACGCCAAGATAGTGGCAGTTCTAGTTAGCAATTGTAAAACTTAAAACAAATATTTGATAGATCTGTGGAAAAGTTGATATTGTTTGTTTAAGTCTAAAGAATTATGTTATTGAAAAGAACTTTTTTACTCTTTTTGAGAATAAATTGTCTTAGAAAATCTTGTGTTGTTAATTTGTTTGTGTTCAGTTGATTTAATTATTCACGTTTTAATATGTTACAATTGTCCACACTACTACATAGATGAAGCGCATATTTTATTGTATTATCCTCAGGCTAAGGACTAAGCTGCCTTGGATAAACTTTACATAGCATTGTATAATACTTTTTGCCCTATACACAGATAAAGGCATATCAAATTACAACTACTATTATATATAACAACTACTAGAATATATTAGTTATAATTTGATATGCCTCTAAGGGCAGGGCTGCTTCCCCAACCTTTAAGAGAGTCTCACTGTAATATATGAAGTTTTATCAGAACTTTGACATCATGAGGCATATTTTGATTGCAAGTTGACAATTTCTGACACCCTGAAGACTAATGCAATAATAAAATATACGGGTAGTGAATAAATTTCTTTCTCCTTGGAACATTTGTTTGATATGCCATTGGTTAGCTTATGACAGAGATCAATACACTTGTTGTTATAATTAGTAACAAATTTTACCATATCAACTGGTTATGAGTGATATGTGACTGATAAAGAGTTTGTGGCTAGGGGCCTAAAAAAATTGGTCATGATCCACTGGCTGATCATAATTGTCAATTACAAGCAAAAAAAAAACAGATGTGATGTCAAATGTGACGTCATCATGGTTTGATTTTATAATTAAAAAATTTTTGTGAACTGATTTACTCGAATGAAAAGAAAAGGACAAATGAAACCAATAGTTTTTTTCAGATAGAAATGAAAACAAACTTGCTACTTGAATCCGTTGATATGGTATATAAGTGATGTATAGAAAATGTATACCACGTTACATGAGTTGGAAAAGGGAACAACTTTTTAAAATTTAGCAATTTTACTGGAGCCTTCATCAATCATGCTCATCTCTGTTATAAGTTTTTAATCCAAATGACTATTTTTATGCTTCCCAAAGGGTGAGCTTAAGGTCACTGCTTTGTCAATCTGTCGGTCCGCTATTCTTGTCCAGGACATAAATTTGAAAGAACAAAATGTATCAACATGAAACTTTGTAGGTAGATAGATCTAATCAAGTAGAAGTGCAGTGCTAAAGAACCATAACTCTGTCTTGCCTAATTTTGGAGTTTTTGCCCTTTGTTTATTTTTATACTGAATTTGTTTGGGACATAACTCTGAAACTATAAGAGATATCAACATGAAACTTTGTTCGAAGATACAAAATGTACATTTGTATATCTCACTGAGTAGAATGGCAGTGCAAAAGAACCAGGACTCTGTTTTGCCTAATTTGGAGTTATTGCCGTTTGTTCATTTTTACACTTTGAACTTTGTCCGGGACATAACTCTTAAACCATAAGAGGTATCAACATGGAACTTTGTAGGTAGATTGCTCTCATTAAATAGAAGTGCAGTGCGAAAGAACCTGAACTCTGCCTTGCTTAATCTTTGAGTTATTGTCCTTTGTTTATTTTTACACTCTGAACATAACTATGACACTACAAGAGATATACTTTCCTGTGTCCAATAACTACAAAAGGTATACTTTCTTGTATCCAATAACCTATTTGGGGAACATCACCCGGTTTAACCAGTTCTTGTCAATCAACCTAGTTTATGGGTGGTTATGTTATCTAAATGCTCCTTTATGGTTGAAATTATCATGAATAGATTGATGTATATCATCCAAAGCAAGTGAAATTTTAAAAGGGCTTTAAGATCTTTACAGGAATGTTGATCAGCATGTGAAGTGGTGCACCCTGGGTTAATTCACTTGTTAGAAAAATAACCCTTGACTTAGTTTATTCATTGTATACTAAGAAACCATTGTGCTAGATTTCACTCCAGTTCTTTGTAGCTCACAAATTTTATGCTAGGTAAACAATAAAAGGTTTTTGTCTAACATTGCAGGATTTCCTAAATAAAACACAAAGCTATTGAGTGTGTTTTTTTTTATACCCCCGCACAACAAAGTTGTAAAGGGGTATACTGGAATCAGCTTGTCCGTCCGGCCGTCAAAGGTCAAGGTCACAGGGACCTTGACTTCAAAAGGATTGTCTGCCCAATAACTTAAGAACCCATGACCCACAGTCTTCATATTTGGCATGGAGGTTAGTCATGATTAGAAGATGACCCCTATTGATTTTGAGGTCACCAGGTCAAAGGTCAAGGTCACAGGGACCTTGACTACAAAAAGCTTTTCCGCCCAATAACTTAAGAAGCGTACCACCCACAGTCTTCATGTTTGGCATGGAGGTTAGTCATGATTAGTAGATGACCCCTATTGATTTTGAGGTCAAAGGTTAAGGTCACAGGGGCCTTTACTTCAAAAAGCTATTCTGCCCAATAATATAAAAATCCTTTGACCCACAGTTTTCATATTTGGCATGGAGGTTAGTCATGATTTGTAGATGACCCCTTCTGATTTTGAGGTCAATGGTCAAGGTCAAAGGGGCCTTGACTTCAAAAAGCTTGTCTGCCCAATAACTTAAGAATCCTTTGACCGACAGTCTTCATATTTGGCATGAAGGTTAGTCGCGATTAGTAGATCACCAGGTCAAAGGTTAAGGTCACAGGGGCCTTGACTTCTAAAAGCTTGTCCGCCCAACAATTTAATCCTTTGACCGACTGTCTTCATATTTTGCATGGAGGTTTATTGATTTTGAGTCACTGGGTCAAAGGTTAAGGTCACAGGGGCCTTGACTAAAAAAGCTTCTGCTCAATTGCTTAAGAAGGCTTTGGTCAACAGTCTTCATATTTGGTATTGAGGTACTTTATGACTAGTATCTACATGACCCCTTTTGATTATTAGGTGACTGTGTCTAAGGTCAAGGTCACAGATATTTTACTATAATAAGCTTGTCTGCTCAAATGCTTAAGAATGCCTGTCCACAGTTGTTGATTTTGACATTTTTGCATTTGAAGCATGTAGAATACATAACTTAGCAATACACTGGCTTAGTAACCTCAGATTTTGCAGGGAGGTTGTATTTGAGCTCTCAATGGTCACTATTGATTCTGACAAAGTGGTATGCGGGGGTATTCACACCGTGACAGTGGCAGTTCTACTTAACCCAAGCAATCAATTATAGGCCTCCTGAACAGTAGAATCTTTGTACTATCTTCGTTCATACCTCATACATGTATGTTTATTTTTATTTTTTTCATATCCTTCAAAACTTACACGTTAGCCACGGA